TTTGACCGAGTGATTACATTCGTGCGAGCATGGCGCTGACAGTAATGCGCGGTGACGGGAGACTACAGTATTGCATTTCCAGCTTCTTTTGTTGTGTCCTCATTGACTAGGTGGACGTTTGGCATGCTATATAATCGGACACAACTTTAAGCAGACCGCGTCATTTTGAGCACGAAGGCGGGTGCACGCGGGCCTCCACCAACGTGCGCTCGCTCGAAAGTGACGTCATGAGCGGGACGACCGACGAGTGTCGCATTTCGACGGAGACCCGTGTGTCTAGAATTTCGCCAGATGGCTGAAATTTCGGGAGCCTTCCACTATAATAGTTATTGTAGGCTTGGGACGTAAAGGCCCATGTATTATTGATTCCAGCCTGAAAAGAATGCAGCTACAGATAAAGTGACGAATGTAAAAAAAAAAAAAAGATTGATTGGCTCGACGCCGTTATCGACACGTACTTTTGAGGTTCAACTCGGGCGCAGGATGTGTTCGCGGTTGTCGAGAAAAGGGCGTGATCGAAATGTTTTTCGTAATGCGCAGAATAGGTGTCCTATGTTTCGTGTTTCGGTAGAATGGGATGTCAGGGGGGGGGGTGCAACGCTTTCGACGCCGGCGGAAGGTGCAAGGCGATACGATTTGCAGATGTGCAGGAGAATTGAGATCGATGGGGACAGGCAGCACCGAGACCTCGCCACGGACAAAAAGGAACAATCGTAAAGGCTTTGTTCTTTGTGTTTCCGAGGCCGCTTTGTTCTTTGTGTCCATGTAAAGTCGAGTTCGCGTGGGCTGTCGTACCCGTAGCCCGATCTTATCGTTCGTGTAACATTAAACGGACTCGGTTGTGTCACAGCTAAGAAGGGATTTGAAAACCGTCAACGAAGTCCTTTATCTGACACTGAAGTTAGATCGAAAGAGGCTACTGGGGATGATGACGTTGGCTGTAGGGGCATGCTCAGCGTTCGTACTTATCTGTGATATTATTCGATTCGGACTGGCGTTAACTGTGATGTTTGTTTGTGTGTGTGTGGGGGGGGGGGGTGCGCGTGCAATATTGTTATCTTTATTGGCATGAGTTGTGTCACTATTTTCGTACCATTGCTACCTGAAGTATATTTGGCGTGACAGTCGAGCTGCCGGTGTAACTTTTGAGCTCGGACTTCTTCGCGAGCGTCTTACTCATATTGAAAAAAACTTGATCCGATTTAATCTTGCCGTGGGGTGTTTGGCCAGCGTCCAGATCCTACGCTACATTGGTACCGCTAGCCGTACAACTTCTCGACGAATTTCGGCGTTGAAACAGGTAGTCAGTCTTCTCGTGTATTCGTGATAGGAACCGGGTAACGACAAGTACATCGCTTTTTTCTCCATCGTCTGACGCCCCGCCTTAAGCGTTCCCACTCGCGACCTTAGTGCGAGAACCGTGCACGCGTTTCGTTTTGCGCTGCTTCGAAGCAGTGCGTGCTGTCGGACGTCGCTCGGCACGCATCATCTGACAGCGAGGCCGCTGTTGTGTTGTTTTTCGAGGTCTCCAGCTCTGCCTGTGCGCGAATGGTACGCACGCCATTCACTGGAATGACCGACCCGTCGTCGTCGGTGGTACTTTCTTCTTCCAGCTCGGCGCGCGGTCCACATCGTTCGCGTGCCTGCCCTTCGCGCACCGAATACGAGGGAAGGCGGTCTTTTCGCGTGCACGATTCTATAGTGGTGCGGAGGAGCCGCGAAGGTGCCGGAGAGGCAGTTGCGCTGGAGAGATCGAGAGAGAGACTAGCGAGCGTGCGCGCGCGTGGCTGGGGAGAGGTGACCGTGAAAATGCGGCGCTACGCCGCGCAGCGCGCACAGCTGTTTTGTCGACCATACAGGTGCTTGAAGTCTTGCCTGCCCGGAGAAACCAGGCGTCGTTCTTCGTTCAGCTCTCTCTCCCTATACATTATTATTTTTTTATTATTTATCCAGTGTCAGGATCCAGGGCAGTAAATAATTCTGGCCGAAGAGAAAAGAGATTCTCTTCTCTTTTTTAAGTTCGGCTGCTGCGCTGGCAGGTTGCGCGCGCTGACTCGCGCATACTGTGGCGCCTTCCGCCTGCGGCGCCGCTGTTTAGGGAGTGGTTGACTGCGGCCCAGTGCGGCTCGCGTTGTACGCCTCTGTAGTAAGGAATTCGTTTATTGGCATTGGCTTCGCGCCCGCGGACTTCATTTCCTCACGCGTCCGCTTTGTATTGGTTGTGTACTGCTTCGTTTGTGTCGTTCGCCACCCCCTCCGTTTACTTTCGTTTAGTACGCGGTTATTGCTGTCGAGCTTACAGTGACAGGCGAAGGTGATCAGATGTTCTCGCGCAAGGAGGACTCGGTTCACTGCGCGTGACACTCTCTAAGCCGAGCGCGCGTGCCTGCTTGCTTGTATGCGATATATATTGTGCGTTGCGCCAACACCTGGGCAGTTCCCTCTCTTGTAGCAGGCGCCTTGTGACGCCATACTGCAGCAGCTGTGCCCCCCTCATCGTGAACGGATTCTTTTCTTCATCTTCTTTGCATTGCCTTCGAAGAGCGCCTCTAATACCGCCGTAGGACTCAGCTACCGCCCGCGTTGCCGGCCGAACCACTGGGGGCAGGCAGGCTTACGCTCGGTATGTTCCGCGCGTTGCGTTGTAACGTGATTAGGATCATCATGGCGGTTTCGTGGAAACCCAGCTGGATGAATTAACCCTTTCTGGCTTTGATTCGGGGGTATTGAAGTGGCGTTGGTTGCGTAATGCTGCCAACTTCATGTCTGCATACCTATAGTATGCGTAATTGGTCTTGTTGATAGTGTTCGTGTTTTCTTTTCCTCTGTCGTGTGATTTGCTGTTACATGTTCCAGGTTTGTTGAGGGCGTCGTTATAGTTACCTCTTAGATCGTAACTTCAACTTTCAGTGTTTTATGTGCCGAAAAACAATTGCCGTAATAAATATTTTAGGATAGCGTTTCCGTCTCGTCTTCCTAATAGACTGTCGTCTCGATTTTCTTGCAAAACAAAACAAGAAAAGTCAGCTTGACTATCGCACGCAAGGAAGAGGTATAGTGGGCGTCTGTGTGGCCTTCAGGTCTTTGTCTTTTTGCGGTCTTATTCTTTCTCTATGAATCATAACCCACTAACCTACCAACAGGCCTTAACAAGTGCGTCTGTCTGAGAACGCATTAACCATTGTACCGATTTCTCACTTGTGTTGTACAAACGAAAAAAAAAAACTATATGCATGAACCGGGTTCAAGTGGTCGGCTGTGCTAAGGAAGGGATTGTGCTCAACAACTGATATTCTCTGAGTGCGTACTCTGGTCAAGGTAAAAAAAAAAACGCCCTTAATTTCTCAAGGAACAATCTGGTGGTGATGGTCTGTTGGTAAGGCTTATAAAAAACACAGAAAAAAAAACCTCAGTTTGCCCCGTGTGACCGAAGTGCCCTGCACGCTACGAGGTGAGTGGCCTTGCATGTTTTGTCGGTTTAATTGTGCCCGAAGTCGTCCGAGAAGTGTGCGAGGGTTCACTGTGTGGCAGTGTGGTTAGCTGGTTGTGTGCGGTGTACTACAACCACTAGCTGTATTGCCGATACAGTGTCTGCCTATAAGCAACGCGAAAGCGTCTCTCTGTCGTCGCCGCTCGAAGAACGTGAGTATGCAGCGACGCGTATGCTGAGTCATTTTAGACACACACACACACACACACACACACACACACACACACACACACACACACACACACACACACACACACACACACACACACACACACACACACACACACACACACACACACACACACACGCACACACACACACGCACGCACGCACTCGCACACGCACACACACAGACACGCACGCACGCACACTAATCTCTCGCCATGTTCGTCACGCTCTCTCTCTCGCCATCTTTCATTGTTCGTTGAGTCGTTCATGTTATGCTTACACTGCGCTAGATGAAAGATAATCTTTTATATGGTACAAGTACGTGCTTTAGGGTCCCAAGTATGTGACCGAATGGCCCATATTCAATAACTACACTCTATTGCAGACATCAGATGCAATGCTGTAAAAGCTGAAAATTTCAGTTAGCCACATTCAGAACTCCGCGCGTCTCGCGCTCAGATTTCGTCGTTGTAAGTGCAGTCAGTCTCCGCGATGGTCTTCAGCTGTGCGCTGTTGGAACTAATTGCGGACACGTTACGAAGACACAGAGACGCTCAGCGATCTTGGAAAGCGTACTAAAACTGTATAAGTAATAGAGTTCGTTTATTTCTCAAGCGCAAATAATCTGCAATTATTATGCAGTCTAAAAACATGAAAAAGAGAGAACATTCTGGCTAGCAAGATAATTGAACTGTTTCTTGGAGCGAGCGCATCTATTGCAAGAAGTCTCGCTAGCTTCCATGGCTTTGCACCTGATGTATGAAACCTAATATAATATCGAAGAGACACATCCTGTGAGATAAGCATTGCAGGAAAGCATTTGTTTGCTGAAATAAACAGTCCTAACTAAGAAAGAGCTTACGCGATGGCTGACATGATAGCGGGAAATACGTGAGGTGGTAGCGGGTATAGTACGGATAGTGCGCTAGCGCCAGGTTGTTCAGTGGAGACGTGTTGCCTTGTACAACCGACGAATTCGGCGTAATTACCCGTTTTCGCACTTTTTCTCCAATACAAAACACTCATATAGTTTATATGTGCGCCTCTCTACTTGCTCATCTTATAAACGCATTAAAAAATAAAGCTTTGTGTCTTACATAATGCTGGTTTATATTTTATAATAATCAGGTGTCGTATTGTGTGGCATATCTTGTGACATTTTTCTATTGTTTTTTGTGAGGCTTTCTTCGATAAGCTAGAAGGAGTGTCTTAATGAATGTGCATTACTCTCTTGTTCGCCGTACGTTTTAAAAAAAAAATCTGCACGTTGTCTGTCAGGGATATTTCGACAATCGCGGAGCTCCTCCTACAGTGTCGTCTTCTCTGTCTTGCTCACGTGCAGTGCGGCGTACGTGTCCTTCGGGGGCCTGCTGATGCGCCTGCAAGGTGACCCGAACAACTTGCACGGCTTCGAAGTGGACAACCACGTGTACCTGCTCATGAAGAAGATCGCCTTCTGAGGGACCGGCTGGCTCGTCTTTTCACTAAAGGACACTGCCTCATCATCCACATTACATTGACAGAATAATTCCCAAAATGCACTATTCTGCTGTAATTAAACTGCATCACATCCTCTGTGGTTCCCGAGCGGTTTTCTTCTGTTCCTCGGGAGAGTGGCTTTCCTACAATGAATAATACTGCTAAAACATTCCTTTAGATCACTCATAAGTAGAAGTATTGGCTCCAGTTGAACATTTCGAGGACGTGGAGTTACGGTAGAAGTATCTCTGCTATTCAGCAACAGCTAGGTCTCGGGGGAACATTGCGCGCTTTGCATGCTGATGAAAGGTATGGTACTAGGCTACATTTTACATTGCAGTTTTCGTCAAGCAAAGCACGTTGGTTGTAAGATGACTCGATGAAAAAGGTAAAATGATAATGACAATAATAATATAATAACAATAATATAATATTGTGGTGTGGTAGTAGTAGGCGCAGAGAGAAAATGATACATTGAAAATATGGAGATGGCGGGCTAACTGCTAACGAAAGGGCATGACGGCTGTCTACTCTTTCGGGAAGAAAGAGTTCTCCGAGAAGACCAAGATAGGGAGAAATAGAGAAAAAACACAATGTAGACGTAGATAGAGTTAAGCAGGAGCACAGATATAAGTGTCTACCACTGACAGACCAAGCATGAAAAAAAGGTTAGGAACAGCGCTGGAATTCCTGTGGCCTGCCTTGCTTGATTGCGAAAAGACAACACCAGATATGTTATATGCCCAGTTTCTGTGAGGAGAAGCGCGGGCTCCGATTACTGCATGCAGTGGCGGAAGTGCTGCTTCAATTGCTCCAAACCTGCTGCGAAATGGCACTGAGAGAACGATGAACCTTTCCTGTTCGACCTGCTCATAAGTTTCGTAAAAAAACTGAAAAAACATCTGTATACCAGTACCCCAGTATGCTACTAGTGTGCGGCATTGTCCGCCCTGATGCCATTTATACGACAAGAACTGGCATAATAAGTAGATTGTCAGGGGAGTGAAAATACTCGAAATAAAGAAAAAAAGGGAAGAAATGTATGCACAATGTCCACGGGCAGTCCTTCAGCCAAGATGGTGGCACCCCAACAGCAACGCAAGAGCTATTACAGTCTTCGTCTTCATCGCCTCAATGGAAAATTTCCTCTTGTTCGTCACAGCTTGTAACAATATTGCTCATTTGGCAGTTTTGTTTTTCAGCTATTGATTGATATGTGGGGTTTAACGTCCCAAAACCACCATTTAATTATGAGAGACGCCGTAGCGGAGGGCTCCGGAAATTTCGACCACCTGGGTTGTTTTTCAGCTAGACATGCATGCTAGGGTGGTGAAATGGGAAAAGCAGCAGGATTGCTTTCATCTCGTATTGATCATCTACTGCTTATTTTGCAACAGTTAGGTGAGTCTGTAATTACTTCTAAAATGCGGTGCTCAGCTTTATCAGTTTGATTTGATTTCTGGCACAATTACTGCTACTTTAAATAGATAGTTCATTTCACAGCTCTTTTTTTTGGCAACCAGCCATCTTTTTATTTGTTTGCTTCTTGAAACTTACATTAGTTGCTGTTTGAAATATACTTCATAATAAATATTAATGCTTGCGAGATGCTTCGATGGTGCTTTGAACTCTAATTGGTCTATGGCAAATTTTGGATCTGCTCCTAATTAATTAAGAGTCCGCTCCGAACTAACATTTTTTCTGACCCCAAAACACTTATGCTCCAAAACAGTACTTTTCCTGCCCCAAGGTATGCTCCCAAGAGTGAAAACTCAATTCAATCACTGTGCATGTATACAAATAGGGCTACCGTCAGTTATTTCGTGGTCGGTGGAAGAGGCACCGCTAGGCTTAGCGCGGGACTGTTGAAGATTCGCTCGCTAGTGTAAAGCGGCGCTATTGCGGTCTGGGGTATTTCGCCTGAGTCTGAACCTAAGATGTGTGCTTGAAGAGGGTATACTTTGGTATGAGGTGAAATCGCGTAACACAGCTAGTGAGGCTTGTGTGCCCAACGGAGTATTGCTGCAACCACTTGTCATCGTAGTACTTTTTTAGGCCTTGTCCTTACCTTGGTCTAGACGTCTTGGCCTTTGACATACTGTGATAAGCAATGTTATAAACGCTGTGAGGGAGGTCAAGTCGCAAAGGTTGGGCATAAGTTTCGCCCGAAGTAAGTAGCAAGTTCCAAAGGCGTTAGTGTCATGGCGCGGGCCAGTGGTAATACGCTTGTGTAGAATGATCAGTATACAGAGAGAGCCAACTTGCGTCTCAAATGCACATCGAGAGTTAGCGCCATATTGTTGCTTCCTGCTGTTTGTTTCTCAAGTTATTGTTTTTCGCTTGCGACGACATAGGTCCCTAAAATCGCAAGTTTATCGCAGAACCGCGGACCTTGCACTTCTTGTTTTTTATTTTATAGTTTGCTTGGGGGTAAGTACCGGCACAAAAACTTTACATGGTATTTTAAGCATGAAATGAAAATAGCTCCCGTTTTGCGCGACCTTCAGTGACCTTGTGCCAAGTTAGAGCCGTTATGCGGCCACCGTCGCGATAATGAAACGGGAACATCAGGATCATCCAAGTGGTCTCGGGCCTCAAACCCTCTGTGCCGGGCTGCCTTACTGTCCGAACAAGTCGTAAGATACACCGCTGCCAATTTCTGAATGTTCACACTGTCACTGAAGCCCTGACTTCTAATACGCTGTTCCACCGGTTGTTTATAATAGTGTCGATCCAAATACACATACAATAAATACACCATACGCTTGATTTGGAATATCAAACACGCCCGTGCGACACGGGTGTAAAGTTTTAAGCTGCTATGCTAAAACGTAAAAAGCCGGGTTCGATAGCTCGAGTCATTAAACCACCGCGAAAGTTAAATGCACAAAAAAAGCAACAAACCCGATCATTCGTACGCGCCCGCTGGTATCGCAGGTTGTCAAAATTGGTATACGGAGTTCCCCCGGCGTGCTTCAGAATTTAGTGTCTTTATTCTAACTCTGGATGTGAGCGTTTGGATAACTACTGGCTAGTATTCGCTATCAGAGTAATCTAATGTAATTTAAAAGCAGGGCCGGTGAATCGGTTTCTCATTTACTGCTGTACGTCATCATTGGTTTCTTTTTACCCCGCTCTGGATCAATACGCATGCGCTGGTATCATGTGGAGGCCCACTTTTAAGGCGACAGCATTAGATGCCTCATCAGGCAATAAAACTTACCGTCGGCGTTCCGCGGCGTCGCCGTCAATACGAGTGATGCGAAAAACCATCGCGTGGCAGTGGCGTAGCCAAAAAGTAGCATACCGCCCCCCCCCCCCCCTGCTCCCCTTTCGCCGTGACATACACAGCGAGAGAAATGATCATTTGAAAGGTGCGGTGCCCCCCCCCCCCCTCCCGAAGATAACTTCTGCCTACGACCCTGTCGCGTGATGATACCACGATATGACGTTACAGATGGTCAAAATTTCGGGTCCTCATAACATGACGTCATCGCTCGGTCGAGGGAGGGCTGATCGCGTAGACAATGCACACTGAGGGTGGACGAGGCGCAGAAAGCTTGCATTGCTTCTGATCTTGGAGGCAGTGTAAATAAAACCACGTCAGGCGCGAGAAGCTTCCGGAGTTATACGGGGGTAGGTCGGTACAACGACTGAGAAGAGAAGATGACGCTCGCTATCGAGTCGTCTGAGCCAATTCATAAAGTATTCAGTCAGTTTTTTTTCTTTTTTTCTAACTTAAGGCAATCGGCCGAAGGGTTATGTTGTCGATCTAGTCTGTGTTTAAGCTCGGCCGTAGTATAACCTCCCTCGTCCCCATTAGAGAGTCTCTAATTCCCCCGTGTTCCCAATAAAAAAGGGTCGCGAACTCCCTGTCCTGCGATAAAAAGGTCGTTCTCGTGCCGCGTTAAGCGCCTTTGGAATCGGTGGCCGCATTTCGAGAGACCTCCGTATCGACCACGCAGGCTTTGCTGGTGTGGCGAGAGCAGCAACGCTGTATAGGGATCCTCCTGCGTGCTATTTCGGGAAGCAGCAGCCGACACTCTTCCGGGTCCTCCATCCCGCGCGCGGCGGCTGTGTCGCGGCGCGTGCCTGTACAGCGGCGGCGGCTTTTTTGCTCTTTGATAAATGGGCGCTCGGCAATTTGTAACGTCTTCCGTGCGACGATGACGCTGCCGCGTGGTACAACGGCAGTGGGTGGCGTAAGAACAATACGGCGGCGTATGTGTATACGCTCAAACGGTCGTATCCCCACTTCGCCTATATCGCTGCCAGCGCTGGGGACTTCCGCGAGAAGTCGTCGGGTGCTCTCTCTCTTTCTCACTCCCCGAGTCGTTGCTGTATCCTTTGTTGGGGGGGCGAGGATATATAGACCTGGCTTTTTTTCGTCTCGTTTGTCGATTATGCGGTGGTGTCGGAATTTGTTCTGTGGAATTGCGATAGGCGCTTTCTTTCTCTTTCTTTCTTTCTTTCTTTCTTCTTTCTTCTTTCTTTCTTCTTTCTTTCTTTCTTTCTTTCTTTCTTTTCTCTTTCTTTCTTTCTTTCTCTCAGTCTTTCCTTTTTTTCTTTCTTTCTTTCTTTCAATTAGGAGAGCAGTAGAACATATAAAATGGCTGGAGTTATTATCCAGGTTTACACCTGCGCTGCTTTAATGCAGCTGTCGCGTGATGCCTGTGGTATGTAGAATGATCCCATACACCAAGGTTGCCAGATGCTAACGAGCAAACAAGCAAATATTCATCAGGAAGAAGCCCAAAAGAAGCGCCGCGACTTTTACGAGCATGGTCAGAAGAAGCGGAAACATGAATTTCCCATTAACGAAAATATTTTTTTTATTATAATAGGAGATGCGACTCAAATGTGCGTGATAGTTGAAAAATAACGCTTTAGCTATTTTGTAGAGCGAAAATATTCGCAACCATTAATGAAAACGTATATTTGCTTTTCACCATTGTCTTCCACGCGAGATAGTCACCATTCGGTTTGACTGCACGTTCGTAAGTGCAGGATCACCGTTACTTCTTGGTTCTGCCATCATGAGTTTGACATCAACATTCGACTACTTAATGTTCTCGATGAACGCATTATTCGTCAGCGCGATGATCACTACAATAGCTAGATTTCCCGGGAAAATTAAAATAAGCAAAAATAAAATGTGACAAGCGGCTAAGAACTTCCACCGCTACAAGTGACTCGACAAAAAAAAAAAAAACCCAAGTAAGCGGTATACAGGCAACTCTGGTACACGCACAAATAGGACGTACAGTGACAAACATACACACACGAACTAAATGTTCTAAGAGGAGTGTTTCTAAAGAACATCAACAGTACTTTAGTGTTGCGCATCGCACCACCGCCGTGTTGCCATGGACGGTCAGAGAATGTCCAAGCTCAAGCCGCGTGGAACAGTTGCTATAACAGGGACAGTCGCAAAAGACGGGAATCGCATTCCGTTGGTTTGAGTGGTACGAGACTTGTCGAATGCGTTGCGACACGTCATTAAGGTTCGGTGGGCACGCGCGGAGACTAGCACCGTTCGCAGGTGTGACCGATGTTCACACCTGCGTGCGACCTGTACCTGTCGCCACGCATAATTCACGCCTGCATGCGTTGCAGTTGGCTTGCCAAATATACCCTGTTCCTGCACATCTGATTGGTTCGCAGGTTTGCGACATGAGTCGCACGAACGACTGAAATGTCGAGCAGCGAGTGACTGAGCCAAAGCAGTCGCTTTACAATTGTTGCGACTATTTGCGACCGCTCGTTTTACGATTAACTTAATGATGCGATTGGTGATGGTTTGATTGATTGATTTGTGGGGTTTAACGTCCCAAAACCACCATATGATTATGAGAGACGCCGTAGTAAAGGGCTCCGGAAATTTCGACCACCTAGGGTTCTTTAACGTGCACCCAAACCTGAGCACACGGGCCTACAACATTTCCGCCTCCATCGGAAAAGCAGCCGCCGCAGCAGCCGGGATTCGAACCCGCGACCTGCGGGTCAGCAGCCGAGTGCCTTAGCCACTAGACCACCACGGCGGGGCGATGGTGATGGTCGCAGGTGTGATCCAGACTTTCAATCCCCATTGGAGCATGGTGGGGTGTGAACCGCGATATTATTTCGGGTATAGTTAGAGTTTTGCGCTCTGATCCAGGACAACCGGGATCTCGGGAACAATAGCTTCTGAGATCTAAAGGCGTGCTGAAGCCGTAATACTGCGTTCAGCGACTTTCCCGCGGGGGAAGGATTGACAACCATTGGCCAGGCCCGAGGAGCGGAAGCCTACAGACTAGGGGTGCCACCAACAATAACCAAGTTGTCTCATTCTGTTAAACGTGTGCCTCTTTCCAAAACGATTGAGTGGATAAGTTGTTGATTCATGTTGCTTGAAATGTGGGTCTCTAGGTTGATGTTTAGGGTAGGTGCCCGCATTTCAAATATCTCTTACTCACGAATCCCTTCTTGCACACTTCGTCATGAAATTACGGGCTGCTTGTACTACGTCCTTTCCGATGGCGAACTAACCAGAAAACTGTTTTGTGGACACTCGCTTTCACTGATTCTTGTAGCTTATCGGAGACGTTTGTTTCATAACATCACACATAAATAAGCCACGGGTAACACGTCTTTGCTTTATATTGAGGTTTTTCAACGCTGTTTGAAAACGACGTTAGTGCAGGAAATCTGCAGCCTCCATAATAGAATGGCCTAAACGGCGGCCTATGCGACCTACATGGTCTTATTGTGCGTGTCGGCAGTGCTCGCTCTTTCTCCGTCTTATTCTCTTCCCTTCCTTCACTTTCATTGTATATGGCAGCAAGCCTGAAGCCCGTCTGATTGATCTTCCCACCTTTTTCTTGCTTGCCCCCTCGCTTTTTTTCTCTACTCCTCCATCATCTTGATGCTTACTAGCTACAATGAAATGAAGAGAAAGCAAGACGGTTCCAAAATTTATTCTCTGCGCTTAAGTCTTGACTAAATTGAAATCATCAAAGCGAATTGGTTCAGCTTCTTTTTTTCTCGGGAAGAGTTCAACAATTGGCGGCAGCTTGCTCATTTCCTGTTTAGGTGTCCACTCGAATTGCTTTCTAGGGGATTTTCCTTATACATTTCAACAATTCATTTTTTGTGGGCGTGTTTGTGGTAAGACGAAGCAAAGCAAAGCACATACTGACTTACAAAGGCAAACGAGATGCTCGATTGCCTTCAGTCGCAGTGTCGCGTGCAAATCTGTGAGCCATCCCATTTGCAAACAGCAAACGCGATTTTGCGCACGAATTTTGCATGCGTTGGGTCGTTTCCTCAACCAATGGTGAGTGCTGTAGTGCACTGTGGGATTCGTTGCAAGAGCTCAACATTGTGATGTTCACCGGAAGAACATTGCGTGAGGACAGTGCCGCGCACCGCATCATATTCGGGACTGTTTGCAGACGTGACAGTGTGCAAGCTCTGGTTGCGTTGTAACCGCAATCACCAAAAAGATGTTCTCAGGATAGACCTGCACTCGTTATAAAGAGCTAAACAGATTCTGAATCATTGATTGGCATGGATCATTGACGCACTGAGACGCAGCGTTTCTTTTTTAACACACCCATCGCTCAAGGACGATCTCATTGTATAGAAATTTCTTCCACATCCATTATGCAACACTTATGAAGTACAAGGGTAAGCACTGTTCTTATGAGACATTTTGTACAGTACGCTTTGCTCAAAGGGCTGAACTGACTATCTCAATGAAAACCGCAATGGGGCCGAGCTCACAATCGTAATGAAAGACTTTGCAAAGCGTGAAATTTCATGGCGAGCTGTGAGTTTCTCCGCTCTTGTTAATCAAAGCGTGCCTCAATAATACTTAATGCTCTTGAGGAATGTGACTTCATGCTATATACGATGCCCCAGACGTTCTGCTTTTTCCCCCACCGCCCATATTACTTTTCGCATAGTGTAACACGCTAGCCGCGAAGCACACGCTTCCAATTCTGTACACACATCAATTTGCGCCATACTTTGCGGCATCCACATTTCGTTGTGTAGCACGTTCATCAAAGTGACAGTGATAATGAGCAGACTTCTTTCCATTTCTGAACAATAGTTGCGCCGCAACTCACTGCAGTGCTTCCTGAAATGCTCCAACCCTAAACTTGAAAACCATCGTTTGTACACCACGGCCGTTTTGTATCGGCGAAACAAGAATGTTCAGGCTGCGCCTAATGGTGCATTACTGCATCATTCTGTGTACCCTGATTGCTGTTTCAAGCGCTCAGTTTTAAAACTCTGCCTTCGGACTATAGCCTAGTCCTTAATGGTCTTTCTTCGTAGCCGTACGTTGAAATATTCAATGCGAGTGTCTCAGGGCAGTTGAAGAGAAAAAAGGAGTGCGTTGCTTGAACGCGTAGAATACTTGTCGGTGATGGTCTTCGGCATGGAGCCTCGCATCAAGACGGCGTTCGCACTCGGCCTCGTGGAAGGGATCTTGCTCATTCTCTTTGGCGTGTGCGTCACCTTCGATCGGCCCGTGCAGCCGAGACATGTTACAGCCGCCGAGGAAGAGTACAACGAGGCAACTTTCAACCGCTTCTATCCCAGTGAGTTGCTGCGATGTTTGCGCAGATTAAAATGCAATCGGAAGACGTGACACCGTGACAATGCGTTCATTTGATAGTGTTATATCGTGTCGGTCCACGAGTCGCTCTTACAAATCGCAGCGCGTATATAGTTATACCACTCCGAACAACACCGATGCTGCGCTGGTTTACATTAAGAGGAGGACTGATACTCTTATTTTCTTAAGCCTTTGACGAGTAATGAGCTCCGAATTACTTGGTTGGGAACATCCAGAAGGTACGTGGAATTTAAAAAAAAAAAAGCTCAGTTGGAGAAACTTGTTACTTAAAGAATGCGAAAAGAAGGAATCTATAGGGCTGTCAGCACCATAGTGACGTAGCATTATTCTAATAGCTTAGGAAGAGCTGTCGTGAGTAGCTTGGTTTCGAAACAATGTTCGACCTGAAGTGATACGACGCTGAACTACGACAGATCATCGAAGACTTCGTGTTTGCTTTATCCCTAAATACAGCAACCACGTTCCATGTCATCGGTCGCTATTTTCCATATCCGTGCCTCGACGCAGGCTGTGATAGGCGATACAGGTTCAAAGTCATTTTAACATGTGGCTTGCAGGAGAGTGTCCTAGGCACAAACATTAGGCTGCGTCTTCGTAGTAGCACTATGAAACCACTAATTCTTTCGTGCCCTTAAGTGTCGGAAATAGTTCGCTATTGAAAAGGTTTGAAAAATTGAATACTGTGCTGCTGAAATAGTCGGGAACAAATAACACTTTATTCTGAGGAAGAAACGATTCACGCTTGTGAGGCTGCTTGCGCTCTTCCTGAAAGTAATGTATTTTTCTTAGATGACTCTTCGATCTAAAATGTTTCACTTGTATAAGATGACATATTCCAAATATAGGGCGTAACCAAGAAAGGCAGGGTGCTAAGCAGGTTCATCGCCTCGAAGAGATAGCATACATGAGATGTCATGCAAGAGGAACGCGTGTGGTTGAAGTAAGTACCTCGCAAACGCAAACGAGAGTGCTCTGCATTGCACAAGTACAAATAAAAAATATAGCGTGGCTAGCTCTAAGTCGTGCAAGACTGGGTCACAGCATAGCTGGGGTTGACATATATAGCTCGTCCTGGCTTGGCTGGGCTTTAACCCCGTCCCCTCTCTCTTTCGACCCTTGATAAACATGGCTATGTTTGCTCTTCTTTTTTAGTCCTTTTTGTGTCCGTTTTTACTATCCCTTTCAACAGCGAAAGCTATTAAGAGATCACAACAAGGGCCGTCGATGTCCGTAACCGACATCACACGAAATAATTAAAAAATATCCAAGATGGAACGGGACTCGACCCTGTGTCCTCTCTGTGTCAGCCCAGTATCCTACACGGATTCGCAGTGATTTCTTTTTTTGTTGCTTTCATTCACACACCATAGCGTAATAATACAGCGCACAGACAGCGTAGCCAGAGGTAGCAAGCAGTCAGTTTTACGTGGTCAATATAAGTTCTTTGTGCGCATAAGTAACTCAAGTTTACCGAGCCACTCTGGCACTGGGTCCCTAATTCTACAATCCTCAACAAAGTTCGAGAACACTTGGCGGAAATGCTGTGTTCAAAACTCCTGCGCGCAAAACTCTATATACAAGCGCTATGTCGGGAAGGAACCACGTTAACATACATGCGATACAACGTGGTAGAATTAAGAGTAAAATAAGAATCAGGCGTCAGAGAACACGAATTGAATAACCAGGCGTCACACAGTATGAACTGCATTACTAGTGGGTTGTTGAATGCATCCGACGAATTACAAATAACTTAGTCATTATTCTTCATCGTCATCAGCCACCGACTCAATTAACATAGAAGTGGCTACCTTGCAAGAGTACTTGTAAAGAGATTTCGCAACGGGTTCCAGAAATGGCGCTCTTCCAGCTTTCGCCATGATTGAGCTGCGCTTTCTGCGCAGGCCCGGTGTTTTTCTGTCCATTTTTTCCTCAGTGATTTTTCACTTCGCTTGAGAAGACGAAGAAGTGTGTTTTGAATAGGAGCTACTTCTGCTAACTCCTACAAACTTCGGCCGCTCGTTCTGTTGGAAAGAGAGGCTTTACGGCTCTGCTTAGGACTTCCAAAGTATACTGCAAATGCAGTGTTATACCTTGAAGCACAAATACCAACCTTATTATGTCGCTTTAACATTCTTACTGTGCAGACCATTTTACGACTATATGAAGCACCGTTTAACCCTGAACAAATTATTTTTATTTCCAATCCTGACCTATTCTTCTCCGTGCATTGGCCCAGATTTACCAAACCACAAATAGTATTTGTTCAATCGTTACTTGAGCCCCTAATGTACACGTTCGTGATCTGATTCCTTTAACTGAGCAACAAAATTCTCCAGAAATTGTTTACCATGATATCTTCCCAACTCACGCAAAGCTATTACCTACAGGCATTTTAAATGGTTTATTGCAGGACCATTTAAGTACTCTGCAACAAATGTCATTATAGCAACGGACGCATCTCAATCACATGAAAAATCAGGCGTTGGAATATATTGCCCCGTACTTGATTGGTCATTTTCACTTCGCTTACCGGACTTTCTTCCTGTCTTTCTGGCTGAATTCATGGCAATAATGTTAGCTTTGCGAAAGGTAAATATCTCCATTCCAGTCGTAGCAGTCATAACTGATTCATTATCAGTGTGCTCTTCTCTGTCCGCATCTGGTCACTCACCTATAGTGAAACTTTTTAAATCGTTGATCCCCTGTCATCTCCGAAGTATTCATTTAATCTGGACACCAGGGCACAAAGGTTTGTTGTTAAACGAAATAGCTGATTCTCTTGCGAAGGCATCCCTTTCGACACCAATTATTCCTATTTTCCCTCATACAGTATACATTACGGTGGCTCGATTTCGCACACTTAAAATCAGGCAAAATTTATCTGACCCTGCACTGACGGCTTCTCCAGAGTACAAACACTTGTTATTTCCCTGGCGCAGTGAACTGACTAATTCAAGGATGATGGAAGTTGTCATCACGAAATTTCGTTGCCGCGTTACCTCCCTCAATTTTTACTTGCATAGATCAGGCATATTGAATTCCCCTATGTGCATTTACTCTAATCAAGAGGAAACGATCAGTCATTTTTTATTACATTGTCGCCGTTTCGATTTATTCAGGCAAAGCATACTAGCACCACCTCTTCAAAGACTGGGCTTGCAACTATCACAACCTGATCTTCTTTCATTTGGAGCCTCTACACTGGGTTTCAGCCACAGGGATGTTTTATTCGCCGTTCAAGAATACATCACTGCGACTAAACGATTTTCTTGCTAAATTGCTGTCTCACTATTTTCTTCTTTTTTTTCTGCAAACTTGATATCGGTATTTCAAATCAAAATTAAGTTACAAAAAAAAATTGTAGGAATGACGCAATGCTGAAAGTTTAGGGCAAATTCACCTTATAATCGGCCAATCCCCTTCTTTGGGTACGAGCCATTTGCACAGGAAAACAACAACAACAACAACAACTCCGGCGTATTTCAGTTGTAATTTAAGTCTGTTGATCAGCTTCCGCTGCTCCCTTGGAGGGGATGGAAGTAGACCACCCCGGGCGCCTGCCGGCACCAGCGGCGTCAGCGGCGACCGCCTCCAGGAAGCGGATGGGACAAGCGAGCGACAGCGACAGTGAAGATACTCATACTTACTATCTCAGCAGTGAGGACTTCTCAGATGACGGTTTCCAACCTGTGCTGAGCCGCAAGGCGAAGAGAAGGAACATGAGGACATCCTCAACTATTCAAACTGTAAGTGAAGCGCCAAAATCGAACACTTATACCATCCTGTTTCTGCCTGCACTTCCTACCGTCAGCATGAAACGCCTTAACAGACAGTCTGTGTCGAGGTCTCTGGAAACGCTCGTGCCAAATGAGATCACGGACATAAGAGTGAACGCCAGAAAGAATATACTGGCTGTGGACGTTTGCACGCAAGTGCGTTGGGCGTTCTGCGCAGTGTAACTGACTTGGACGGCAACTAGGTGCGCTCTCATGTTCCCTTGGGATGTGATGTAGTAACCGGCGTGATCTACGACATTGATGTCGCTATTTCCAATAAGGACTTACAACTTCTTGTCAAGTCAACAACTGATACTCCAATTGTTGATGTCACCCGGCTAGGCAAGTCTCGCTGTGTGAAGATTGCGTTTAAGAGCACATCACTCCCCTCTCATGTGAAGGTGGGGTACTTCAGACATGCTGTGCGGCCTTTCATTCCGAAGCCTCTCCAGTGCCGTAAATGCATGAAACTTGGACATGTGAGCAGCGTCTGCGAGAATTCGGTGGTATGCCACCTCTGCGCCGGGCACTCCCGGTTCGAGATCTTTCCAACCAAGACAGGCAAGTGACTGCAATCGTCCCGGTTCGAGATCTTTCCAACCAAGACAGGCAAGTGGCTGCAATCGTGCAATCATTAATTGCCACGATTCGCACGCTACTGAGCAGCATACAATCTCCGTCTGCTAAAAGTGCACTGCAAATACTGGATGCACTGAATCCAGTTCTTGCTAACTTCGTATAAGCACAATGGCTCAACAAAATCTCATCTTCCGCACTGAAGTTAAAAGTGCGTCGATTTTTCAGTGGAATGCCAGAGGCATGAAGTCCCGTATCTCGGACTTTCGCCAATTTGTTCGGGCCAATCAATTCCCTATACTTGTCATATGTGAACCAAACGTATCAACGCCTTATAGATTGTCCGGTTATGAAGCTTTTTGTTCAGCCGCTTGCGAAGAACGAAGCAAAGTAATTGTTTACATTCGCACAGACTTGACTTATCTTTCGCACCTAATCAGTTCAAATGACGACAATCAGTACGTGTGTCTTCGTGTGAAGAAGAATGCAGTTTCGTTCACGCTTATTGGTGGATATATATCTCCGTCATCGCGATTTGACTGCCACAGATTAAAAGACATCCTAATGAGAACCGATGGGCCTTGGATCATCACCGGTGACTTCAACGCCC